TTGTGTACTGCTATTTCATGTAATTAGACAAGTGGATTATAATGGGAAGTATTACACTGTAATGTTCCATATTATAATCTATTTCTCTGATTAAATGATTACAGACAGGCCTCTGTTCTATCAAAATTTGAGACCACGTTACAATGTGTGACCGGTGACCGGTTCACGTAATCTCGCCCAGTTTTTTGGCGGTGGAATAGGTGAAGCATATCAACGCTTTCTCCGCTGTTCCAGGGCTGATCGACATCGCAAATCGCATGTGCAGGAGAATCTGCCCTGAAACAGCTGATCGGTCCTGGAATGTCACTTCTATCCAACTTTGTGAGTGCGGTGGAATGTGAGATTGCAGAAGTGACATTTCAGCTGTTTCAGGGCAGATCGGTTCTCCTGCACATACCAATTGTGATGCCTATCTGCCCTGGAACAGCTGGTAAAGCGCTGGAATGCTTCACCTATTGGCGGTCACACATTCCACCGCCGAAAAACTGGGCGGGATTAAAACGTGTGACCACCCATGTGAGGTACCCATCAACTGTACTGGGGCGACATGGCAGAGGTGACAGGAGAGGGGGTGGAGGAGGCCGAGCCCCAGCAGCAGCAGGTAAGAAGAGTTGGGAGGAGGTACAGGGAAAGGGATCCCGACGACCAGACCAGCCCACCTGGGACCCTGCAGAGCCCACAATAGAGAGTCTCAGGTGGGCTATACAGGATCTATGGTGTGCTCTGCAGGGTCTCAGGTAAGTCCAGCACGCTACTGCAACATTAGAGACCACTGGGGGGGGGGGCAGTGTGGTCCGCTCCTGTGCCCCCCCCCTATCTTGGGAGGGGGGCCCAAGATAAAATCTTGCACTAGGGCCCTTTGGTTATTAGGTCCGCCACTGTTGGTATGTGTCAGTTAACTTGACATTACCTGTATGACTCAGCTCTCCAATTGACAGTGGGTATGAAAACTCGGAAACAGAAACATATGTGCATTCCTAGTTTTAAGCAGGAAGGTAAATAAATATTGCTACAGCAAGGCACACTTTGTAAAGAATCTTATTGGAGCCGATTCACTAAAGTCAAACAGGCTGTTCACTTTGCGTTTACGAAGCAAAGGTAACATTTTCTGGCAAAGTGAACAGTCCATTTGTCTCTAGTATATCAACCCTATTAGGTCATATTGCATTCACAAAGGGGTAAAGACTTGTCTTACTGAGATAACACTAACAGGTCTATTCACAAAAGCGTGAAGAGTTTGGGAAAGGCAGGAGAAGTGAACAATCTAGGCCAGAATATCTGATTTGGAGAAATTATCCAATTTAGCTCACTTTCCAGGTAAGCTATTTTGTCCTAGATTGTTCACTTCTCCTTCCTTCTCCAAACTCTTCACCCTTTTGTGAATAACTCTGTAAAACAGCCATTGTCAATCTTCTGCCGCAAAATCTATCTGCCTGGCCATCTCTTCCTTGTATACTTTCTAAGCTCTTTATGGTCTTGTAAGAACTCTAAAGGGGTGTGTAAGGTCAAAAACAACCCTCAAAACAAAAATGTAATGTATTGCATCTTACTAAACCTTAATTGTAGTTGTCTGCATTAGTTTTCTTTAGATGTTTTCCTTTATTTTCACCTGGTGATCTGGCCAGTAACACACTTCCTGTCTTTGTATGGCTCACATCTTTGAAGGAGCAACAAAGCCACCAATGAACATCAGCATTGTCACCGTGTGAGGAGGGTGGAGTTTGATAAGCTAGCAGATTTAGATAGACCTGACCAATAATATTTAATTATTGAACTTCTACCAAAATAAAAAAAGACAGTTACAGCAACAGTTTTATTTTCACCTTGAGATCAAAGTTTTACATAAATGAATAAAAGCCGACCATTGCAAGCCCCTTTGTCAATGTTAAATATTTTTTTCCTCCATCTAGCTGCTGCTATTGCTGGACCGCTTGGCATGTTAAAGAATATTGAAAAATAACAGACTTACTGGATGGTTTCACCAAGTAAAAAGAAAAGAAAAAAGGCTGAAAAGAAAACAAATGCGGCCACCACATCTAAGGATTGGTAAGCTGCCACAGATGACATGTTTTTGACTTTTTCTTTCCTGTCTGCTTACCCTAGGACCAGGGGCGTCCCGAGGCTGGGTGACACCCAGAGCGGTAACCGAGTGTCACCCCGCCGAGACGTCACTGCGCATGCGCGGCAGTATTCTGATACCTGCCGGCGGCCATCTTGGTGATGGACGCCGGCAGAGAGAGGAGGGGACAGTCACCCGGCGGGATAAGGTATGTCGCCGGGTCCCCTCCTCTCTCCTGATACTGTCGGGCGTTCGGTCCATGACCGAGCGCCCGACTTTTAAGAGGGGGGTGACACCAAAATGAGTGTGAGTCATTTTGGTGTCACCCCTCCAATGGTGTCACTTGGGTGCGGGCCGCACCCCCGCATCCCCTTGTGACGCCACTGCCTAGGACCAGCTTCACTATCCTAGGGTATCTACCTGTTGTACAGTCATAAACCTTCAAAGGGCCTTTTGAAATTCAGAAAGCTTTGTCACTCATCACACTTAGTGTTACTTATCCTACTTGGCAATTGACAGCAGCTGTCTGCTGCCACCAGAGGTGTGTCGTTCATGGAAAATGCAGAACACCGATAATCATCAAGTCAAAAATATTGCAGATTTACATAGTTATATCATTCATGAGGATGAAAAAGCACAGGTCCATGTTGCTAGTGTGTGTGTGTGTGTGTGTGTGTGTGTGTGTGTGTTCAGGACCTAGTTACAGTAAAATACAATATAGCATCTATTTTCCCCATTTTTTTTTACCAGGAAAACATAAAATGCTACAAATGTATAAATATATCAGGGAGAGACCTCATCCACCAGAATGGGACCATCTGGCTTTCATCTGAAGTATCTTAGGCATAACCTGCATTAAATAATTTCTGAAGTAAAGATTTTATATTGATATTGTGGTTGTGTTACTTTTTAACAGTGGTTTAACTTCAGTTTTCTTTTTTAGAAAGAATTTGTGTTTTGAAATAAACATTGAATACTATGCAAAGGATTTCCAGGAGCACTATGGGTTTGTTGAAGAGGCTAAACAGCAAACGGAAATGTCTTTATGTAAAACCTTTGATGAAACCATGTGATCAGAGATGAATCACTGCTGTGAGCACTGCATTATACAATCTTCATTAAGCACAGCTTAGAGTGTTACAATGCTTCAAGTTAAAAGGCTACTAGAGCTCCCCCAAATGGCTGCATAGAAGACTACATAATATTAACAAGTTCAGTCTATATGCAAATAAAAATGCCAATTCTCTGCAAGAAAGGATGTAGGATACTCACTTCTCCAGTGACCATTTATACCTACCCTCCCTCTAAACATGTTCATGGCAAAAATATTGTTACGGATTAAACAAATAAAAACTAAAAATATTTTCATTTGTTTTGTCAAAGTAAACACATTTTTATGCTGTTTTAGATTCGTAGGCAACAAGCCTCCGAATGCAAAATCGCACAATAATCTGCAGAACGAGCCATGGCCATATTGGCTGCCAGCGCCTTCTGCACATGTGCACCACAATTTTGGATTGTATCTTGGTATACACCAAGATAGCGGCGCCGTTATGTGTGGGTGCTACCATCTTGGTGTATACCAAAATATACCCCATGCACCAGTGGCTGCCACTCCTTCAGCATATGACGTCACTGTCATGTGACATCATATGCTCCACCTCCAAGATGGTGGCGGGCATGTCTTTCACCACACACTATGGTTTCATCCTCCAACCCCTATAATTTACAGGAATCCCCAGTCACATCAAAGTTAAAGAGAGGTACCAGCATGCAGGGGGGAGAAATTCATCCAACTTTCCTGAAAGTGGCCAATGCCTAGGAAACTGATCGGGGCTGCGGTGCTGGAACAGATGGAGGTATGAGTCATGGGCCACTAGAGATGTGCATATACTACCTCTTATTGTGAAGGGAACAGGCCTACATGACATGCTAAGGTCTCTTTAATCCCTTCCCACTATATGCAAATGCCCTGCTGTCACATATATGTGTCACTGTTCACTGTCAGGAACATGCTCAATCATGCACCTACAGCATGGTAACCAAGATGTCACTGACTGATCCCAGTCACAGAGTGAAATTAGAAGCTGGTAGGACAAGTGCCAGATCATGTGAGCATTGTGATAGCCAAACACATAACTGAGAAACTCAGGCTTGGGTTTGTTTTGCCGTCAGTTTTAAGTGTTTACTGATTTAGGATGTACCTAACATGTTCTACAGTCCATTCATGCTTAGCCCATGAACACACGTGCAGCTGCTGGGACTTGCCATTTGCGGAATATTTATTAATTTTGACATCCACAAAACATTAATTGCAAGTAATTATTATAGATCATGTGTTTTAAAATATGGAGAATGAATAACCATCTGTAAGTGTTTGGTAAATGTCATATTTACTGTATTATAAATATGCCCATTATTTTGATGTGAGCATCAAAAATAAACCATTTTAAATGCAATAATTTAATTTGTTAATTAACTTCTCCATGCTTTGTACCATAAACATTATATTGGTGTCAATAAAACAGGGGAAAGCTGCAGAATAAAATTAGTACTTTATATCTTTAGCAACACTTTGGGGTCTATTCACGAAGCAGCCGAAGGATCTAGCCGTAGCTTTGGCTGATCCTTCGGCTAGCTTCGACCCCAGGACCCCTTCGGTTCAGTAGAACCGAAGGGCTGCTGTACGGGCTATTGACTATAGCCCATACAGCTCCCGAACTTGGCTGAGTGGCTCAGTCGAGCCGAAGGCATATGCCTCGGCTCGGTTGAGGCGCACTGAAAGCCAAAGCTGGCTGAGCGGACGGCCACTGGCCGGCCGACAGCCTGCTTCTGACAGCTGGGTGGAGCCACTTGCAGAGAGATCAGCGTCCCTAGTTACCAGCTAACCATGGACACTGATCTCCAGAGAGCCTAACTCTCCCGGGCGCTCCGGGAGTCTCCCGCTCCCGGCCGCCAATGAAAGAAACACTACACTACCAATGAAAGAAACAATACATTTTTGGCCATAGGAATGCATTGCTAAATTCCTATTGGGTATTTCAATTTGCAATAGCCAATAGCAAACTAGCATTGTACCCGCCCTCTGCGGCAGTTCTCCGTCAGGTCCCAATAGGAATCTAGCAATGCATTCCTATGGCCAATTTTTTTTGACGGCAGCAGAACCGCCGGCCAATAGAAAAATGTTGGGCGGAGCTAGCTGTTATTGCTAGCTCCGCACAATCGTTTTCTATTTTTATTTTTCTACTTTTTGAAACTATCTTTCTATTCTGCTCAGCCCCACAGAGAGACCGAGCAGAACAGCCGAGCCGAATGCCACTCAGCGGCATTCAGATATTCACTCACTGCTGTTCGGCATCTATAAGAATAGGCCGAACAGCAGCAAGTAGCCTGTCAAAGGTTCGGCTTAGCCAATCCAGATGTTGGATCGGCTGAGTCGAACTCCTTCTGCACTTCGGGTCGGCCGAACATGCTGGGCATGTTCGGCCGAACCAAATCCACGCAAAGCCACCCGATGTACGGCTGATTTCAGCTCACTTCGTTTCAGCGTTCACTTCAGCTCACTTCGCTTTAGGTCGGTCATTCACTCGGCTGCCTACGGCAGCTTAGTAAATAGACCCCTTTGTTTTAAAGTAATCACTGGTCACGCTGGAAAATGTTAAATATTTAAAACTAAAATACATTCTTTTTACGTTATAAAAGAACATAAAGATTACCAGAATGGATTGATATTTCTCCCTCTGAACATGGGAAACAGTCATAACAACATACGTGATACCCTTCCCTTAGAGCTTTTCTAAACCCTGGAAGACATTCTGCAGAACATCGACCTCTTGGGGCCTAAGATACAAAAGAAGATAAATTGTTACAAATACCATTTAGTAAACCATGAATAAGGTCAAATGAAAAAGGACAACGTCAAGGAATTAATGTTATTCAACATAGGTAAATATTGCATCATTTTTAAATTACATCTTTAGACCAAAAAATAAACCAACTAAAAAGATAATAACAATAAACTGCTAATCATAATCACAACATATTAAAAATGGTTGCAAAGAAAAAAAATATTTATCTTACAATGAGCAAATCAAAATTTGCTAAGCAAATGTGGTGAAAATTAATTTGGGAAAGAATACTTATTCACATGAAAACAAATACAGAAAACAGTATTTTTGTTCACACATGATTTGATGTTTGAAATTAGCACTGATCATCATTCCCTAGGTTAAGTGAGCATTCACTTTGCGCAGAGAGAATTAACTTCATCCATCATGAAGTAATCCTGGTTTTTTTTTCTTGCACATCATTAGATGTTATGATTTCTGATGATAGGAGAAGAGGAGATGTTTAATTTTGCATGATGACTAAGATTTTGAAGAGACCTCCTGGCAAACCTGCACCCAATTCATCCTATGCAATATATACTCCAAGATGGAGGCTCTCATAGATTAGAGCTATGACCGCACTACACTGAGGGGTCTTGAAGAGGCAGTGAAGCACACACATTTTGCAAAAGTGAAACAATTAAAACCTCTGTTTTTAACTCTACAGTTAGACAGTTAAATGTGGTTTGCTTGGTTTTTGGATGGCTGGTGAGTGTGTTGGTAAATGTTTGTTTTTGCCTTTATTCGGATACAGGCACATGGGGGAATTTATCAAAACTGTAGCAGACAGAATCTGGAGCAGTTGCTCATGGCAGCCAATCAGCATCTATCTTCAGTTTGCTCAGGTAAGATTTGAAAATGAGACAGAGAAGTTGATTGGTTGCATTGCAAATCTGCTCCAGATTTTGTCTGCTCCAATTTTGATAAATTCCCCCATCTGATGTTTTTAATGAACCAACTGAAATTTTCTTCTGACCGGCATCCTTCAAGCATGTCAGAAAATTATCGGCCGAACAGACCTAATGGTCAATAAGCCAATAAGCTTTGTTCACTTAGCTCTGTTTGGGTATTTTGGTAATTGATTCATATAAAGGATGTCCTTGAGCTGGAGAGTGTCCAGAGAAGGGCAACAAAACTAATAGAGAAGTTAGAAAGGCAAAGCTATGAGGAATGATGGCAAATAATTAACTTGTTCAATCTAAAAAAGAGAAGATTAAGAGGGGACATAATTGTAATGTTCAAATTGTTTAATGGTCATAGCAGAGTCAGCAATAGACTGTTTACTGTTAGTTTACTTATGAAGACAAGAGCCCACCACCTGAAAATGGAAGAAAAATGGCTTAATCAAACTACGAAGGGGATTTTTATACTGTAAGAGAAGTAAAATTGTGGAACTCCCTTTCCTAGGCCGTGGTTTCAGCAAAGAATGTTGACTCATTCAAGAACCTTTTAGATGCTTTCCTCAGAAATCACAATATAGGGGGTAAAGTTACTCTTAGTAACATAGACACATACATCCACACACAGGCTAAACGTGATGGACCTGTGTCTTTATTCAACATCAACAACTATATAATTATGTTCTAATGGAATGGAGGGGGAATGAGTGAGAACTGCTATTTAAAAAAAAAGAATAATAATTTATCATACATACAACTGGTTACAAGATCCAATGTCTTAGATGTAGAAATGATAAAAAAGTTAAAAAGTGATGACTAAGGTAATTTGATAGTCATTGTGTCCTCCATGCCTTCTTCATATAAAATACATTACCTCAGGTAATGAGAAAAGTCCTGTGGCAGTCCATTTTGCTACAGGTCACAATAAGTCCCCCAAAAAGGAAAGGTGAAAGGTTTTCACACATGTGATTGCTTGGAGGGGCAATTATGATCAAACTTTGCTTTAAAAAGTGTGATTTTAGATTTGTGAATACTCTATCCTGGGTCCAAATGAATCAGGAGTTAAAAATTGTGGATCTTTTTATGATAGTTGCAAAATGGTTAAATCCATCTAAATTATCATTATCAATAGCAACTAATTACTCAATATGTATAATATCCTCTAAAATATCAAGCCAGTCAAAAAGCTACAGGGGGAGAGTGAATTTCAAGCATCTCACAATTGCCTGGTGAGCAAAAAACAGAACAAATGGAAAATATAGCTCATGGCCTTCGGGAGGGAATTGGAAGGAAGGGTAAGTATTGTAAGCTTAGTAGTATTCTGAATCTCTGTTGCAAATGACTTATTATATAAAGCTAAACCCTATGTCCAAAATTAACAAAGTTGAAGACAGGCCCACCAAACATGTAGATAAGTGTCAACCGCCTGCTGACATCTCCAACAGGACTCAGAAATTGAAGGGAAAATATGATGGAGTTTTACAGGGGTCAAATACGACCTGGAGAAAACTTAAGGTTTCCTTCCTGAGTTTTACATGACATAGCTAATTTATGTGTAAACAAAAATATAATCTGCCAATCTGCAGGACCTATGGTGGACTCCAATTATCACAACCATTTTTGAGTGTATGAGAGCAGCTCAGAAGACTGGTGAGAGAGAAAGACCATATAGCAAGGAAATTACATGAGATGACGGGGATGCAGATGCAGAGAATGTCTCAAAGGGCCAGAGGTCCTTATGTAGGTCTGACACAGAGTGCATAGAATGATAATAGCTGGAGAGTTGGGAATACAACATCCAAACCTTAATAGATATGTTTTTATTGTGAGCAAAGCAGGAGGTGTAAAGTTAGGAAGGTGAGGACCACATTGTGTGCATTACCAGAACCCAAGGATATTCGTATGATTATATTATCCAATGGCTTATTGAATGATATGGATGTGAAGTAAGCACTTAGTTTGTGTGCATCAGTTATAAAAGCAAGTTTTTGGAGTACATCTGTCTGTATAAATGCACAATTTTGTTTTTGGCAATAATGGATGATTTTGTCACAGCATGATAGCAGCAGTAAGTATGAACTTAAAGGGACTATTTAAATAAACAACTGGAGGAAATATTTAACCTTGTGATGTGGGAGAAAAATTATATATAAATATATAATATCCCACTGTTTGCTTGTTTATAATTTGAAAATACCCCAAAGAAGGTGTCATTTTTTTGTCCCTACTGATCTTATGGTTTAGAGTCATCACCTCTCTGCTGGATTCCAAGACACATTTTTATATTTATACACATAATGATGCATTGCACATAAGTAATATGTTCTAAAAATAGTGAAATCTGTAGCAGGAGAAGTATGTAGGCTTCCACTGCTGATCCCCTTCTGAAAGTGTTAGCTACTTTTTTGTCTTTTACCTCAACACTTTCCTGATAACTAACCCCAAAAAAATATTTAAGTTGTGAAGTCAGAGGAATATCAGAACTCCTGATCTACAAATTTTGTATGCCAATTATTCTGGAAGCATTAGATCCTTGGATGAACATGCCAGCCATTGACCTGCAGATTTAATAAAGAGCACGAGTCACCAATGGCAGCCTATGTATTTTTTAATTTGATTTCTGTCACCTGGTCACGTTTCCATGATATCAGCTGTGGTGTGAGAGTAAGTTGTTGATTTTCTGGAAGAGATCCATCAAAGTGGCCCACGAGTCTCCAATGTGTGACATTTTTGTTTTCAACTTGTGTTATCCAATTTACAATTTCCAGCGGGCTGGGCAGATCTCCCTTTTCTTTAAAATATATGTCCTTGTTATGGGGATCTATGTAATGTACTGAGTGTACATAGCGGAATACCTTAGAAAATACAACCAATAAATCAAGAAAACTATAAAAGTAGTACACTTGCATATAAAACATACCTACAGATCTGACAACCATTTCATAATGCCTCCAAATTTATTATTACACAAGGTAATAGGTTTGCTTGATAGTCTGCCAAATCCAATGGAAATACTTCACTATCCCAATCCCATGCCTGGGACCCTAAAAATAACAGTTTTTTTCTGGACAAAAGCTTGTGTTCTCCTTCCTTCCAAAATGTAGTGTTCAGTGTCTGTGCAGCCAATCAGCAAGCCTGCATCGGCAACACCCCAGAACTAACAAAAATGTGCTTTCTTGGGGTTTCAAGGCTCAAGGGCACCAATCCATGAAATGTATGACTACTGGGGGGACTTGTATCCGTTTGTGAAATCATAAACGCATCAAAAGACTTCATTACGGGCCACTGATGAAGTCTGTTGACAAAATACATCATGATGGAGGTTTTAAGGTTTTTAAAACAATTGATACTGGAGGTGTGCCTCCTACAAATGACTGATAAATTCCTAAAGAAAAATAAATCTTCCCCCACAATAAACTTGGTTAATACGGCTAGGGCCAGGTTACCCCTACTGTGGTAAAGTCCCCAACCCCCTACGATCCAGATGTGGATATCGAGAGTTAATGACATTTCACTATGGAGGATCTTACTGCCTCTTTGAAAAATCAGGAAGCGAAATATAACTCGATCTGGAGCCCCTGGGTTTATTTCAAATATACAGACAAATACACACAAGTCATGTCTCGGGGTGGACCCTGATGCCCCCCCCCCCTCCCCCCTTTATTTTATTTTTTTGTTCCCCTCCTGGGTGCCTCAGTGGTTCAGGGTGTGGGGCCTGTTCTTGGATGCTTGGGCTTTCTGTATTTCTCATGCCTTTAATTATATTTTATTTTTCTCTGTTCTAGGAGACCTTCATGAAAAAGTTGCTTTATTTCCCTTTATTTAACACTGGAACTCTCCATTGGGGCCCCCTCACAGGCTCTCTCCCTTCAGAAATTGGATCCTTATTTCTTAATTAAGATGTAACAGACATCTTAATTAATTGACAATTGCTTGATTTGATTGACAATTGCAAAGATGGATTTTATATATCTCGGTCAATGAGTCTTCCTATTTTTTTAGTTTGTTGCAATTTATACATTGTGCAATAAATGTATATCATATCCCTAGACTTAAACACTATTATGCTTTTTGTGGTCCCTCCTATTTTCTTAAGAACTGATATCTATTTGGCTAGTAATACAGAAAAGCAAAATAAAAGGATTTCATGAACATAATAGGCTAAGAACAACAGAGTGGCATGTGCTAGCATCTTCCACCTTCAGAGTTGAGTAGGAGGAAGAGTATTGGAAGTACCTAAGGCGTCTATTCATGAAGCAGCTGAAGGATCTAGCCGTAGCTTCGGCCGATCCTTCGGCTAGCTTCGGCCCCAGGACCCCTTCGGTTTAGTAGAACCGAGGGGCTGCTGTACCGGCTATTCACTATAGCCCGTACAGCTCCCAAAGTCGGACGGGCAGCTTAGTCGAGCCGAAGGCATATGCTTCAGCTCGGCTGAGCCGAGGCAAAAGCCAAAGCTGGCCGAGCGGCTGGCAATTGGCCGGTCGACAGCCTGCTTCCGGCAGCTGGGCAGAGTCAGCCGTGATCTTACGGCTGGCTCCGGCCACTTGCAGAGAGATCAGCGTCACTATGGTTACCAGCTAACCAGGGACACTGATCTCCGGACAGCCTAACTCTCCCGGGCGCTCCGGGAGTCTCCCGCTTCCAGCCGACCAGGAGAGAAACACTGTTTTTTCTTTTTCTTTTTTATTCTGACACGGAGCCCTGTCAGAATAAAAACAAAATTAATTTCACCATAGGAATGCCTTGCTAGATTCTTATAGGCTATTTTAATTTGCAATAGCAAACTAGCTGCACCCACCTATGGCGAAACATGTCAATCTTGGCTGACTGCGGCTAGTGGATGGTGATGTGACCGGAGGCTACCGTGTTACATAGTCGGGGCGATACCATGTTGGGTTAACAGACAGTGTGGCCTCTTATTTGTTGTTAAAGTCTGATGAAAACGTTTGCTTGTGAGTACGTTTATCCCTTGTTTTATTTATCCTAATAAACGATTTTACACACGGAGGTGGCGCTCTGTTCCCTTTTGTTTTCTATGTTCGTGGTGGAAGCCCCAGCACCTTGGATGAGCAGCCCCTCAAGTCTGTGTGAAAAACTGTGATAAACTGTTGATAACTTTGAGTATGCAACAGCAAGTGGATCGTTTAACTGGCAGGTATTAGCGCCAAAAATTAAAGAAAACCTTTTGCTTTATGTTTTAGTGTTTAAATAAAAGGAAAGGAGCCACATGTAATGGATTGCTGCCAAGTTAAGTTTATCAGGGTTGGAAGGCCCCTTCACACAGACAATTTGCTTTGAATGGGCAGAGGGATAGTGCATATAAAGTTGAATTCAATTACCTTATGCACAAGGCTAGGTAACCTCATCTCAGTTTCACTTTCTTTAATTTGTAAAGAGAGATACATGTCATTTAAAGCTTGAGCCAATAAGTTCACTGCAAGAAACACTCTATAAGGAGTTTTATCATCAGGACAATATAAATGATAATTAATACTCTCCAAAGTGCAGTTACGAACAGGATAGTAAAATGTGAATGGAATCATAAAGTTCTTCTCTGGATTTTTTGAAAAGCAGCGGCATTGAGTTATGAGAATATCCTCCTGCATTGGGTCATCTGGGCGGCTTGAGGGGGTAATGCTATCAAAATATTCCTCCATTCTTGCTATAGAGGGATCAGGACTTGAAAACACCAAACTGCAGTTACTGATAAAAAAAAAATCGTCATCCATTGACCAAGAATCAGGAATGATAAATGTTTTATCCCTGTGATAAGGAACGTTACACAACAGAAACGTATAATAGGTTCTGCTAATTGAGCCACAAATAATAAGAACTTCAGTAGTTGATGTCTGAAGATCTAGAGGGATTTTCCTATAATTCTTAACAGATACCATGATCTTAAATTCAATACAAATTCCATGATTAGTTAACTGTTCGCTGAGTTGTCGGATCTCCCTCTCTCCATATTCATCATCAGATGTAATGATTCCAACCCAGTTCCACTTCAACCTTTTCAGTAACTTCACTATGGCCACATATTGCATCTCATTATCTGGAACTGTCCGGAAAAGGTTTGGAAACATATTTCTGTCACTTATTAAAGCATCTCTAGCTCCATAACTAATCTAGAAAGAAAGAAGAAATGGTTGTTACATTAAAGTGTATGTAAAACTTTTTTCTGGTTTTGGTTTGTGTGAGGGAAGTTTAGAACTTCTGCTCTCTGGGGTTCTGTTACAGAGATTTATCTTAGCTTCATATTCTCTTAACAACAGTTTCACCAAACAGGAAGGAGCCATGAACAATAGAAAAAAACATTCAGGGTTCTAACCATTCTATACTCTACCCAAAACAAAAGCAAAAAATGTGTGGCTGTATTGTCAGTTGCTGCACGTACATACAGAATAACCAACAAAGTCTACAACAGTTCTTCTATTTACCTCCTTTAGAAGCATTAAGTGAAGTTTCCCACTTGTATTGCCTTTAAAAAATGCCATACCTCTAAAGAAACAGAGGAATATTACCCCCCCAATGCCCACTCTACTGAAAAACACTAGAACACTAAGGGGTCTATTTACGAAGCAGCCGAAGGATCTAGCCATAGCAACGGCCGGTAGAAGTGAAGGGCTGCTGTACAGGCTATTCACTATAGCCCGTACAGCTCCTGAACATGGCCGAACGGCTCAGTCGAGCCGAATGCATATGCCTCGGCTCAGCTGAGCCACGCTGAAAGCCAAAGCTGGCCGAGCGGCTGGCCATTGGCAGGCCGACCGACAGCCTGCTTCTGACAGCTAAGCGGAGCCAGCAGTGATCTTACGGCTGGCTCCGGCCACTTGTAGAGAGATCAGCGTCCCTGGTTACCAGCTAATCAGGGACACTGATCTCCAGGCAGCCTAACTCTACCGGGCACTCCGGGAGTCTCCCGCTCCAGCCGCCAAGGAGAAAAACACTGCTTTTTCTTTTTTATTCTGACACGGAGTCGTGTCAGAAAAGAAAAAATAAAATACAATTTTTGGCCATAGGAATGCATTGCTAGATTCCTATTGGCTATTTCAATTTGCAATAACCAATAGCAAACTAGCATTGCACCCGGGTACAATAGCTAGTTTGCTATTCGCTATTGCAAATTGAAATAGCCAATAGGAATCTAGCAATGCATTCCTATGTCCAAAAATGTATTTTTTCTATTCTGACACGGCTCCGTGTCAGAATAAAGAAAAAAAACAGTGTTTCTCTCCTTGGCGGTCGGGAGCAGGAGAATCCCGGAGTGCCTGGGAGAGTTCTTTTCTTTTTTTTGGATGACAGCAGAACTGCCGGCCAATAGAAAACAGTTGGGCGGAGCTAGCTGTCACTATTCATTTTTTCTACTTTTTAAACATTTTTTCTGTTCTGCTCGGTACCACAGATGGATCGAGCAGAACAGCCGAGCCGAATGCCACTCAACGGCATTCAGATATTCATTCACTGCATCTATAAGAATAGACCGAACAGCAGCGAGTAGCCTGTCGGAGGTTCGGCTTAGCCGATCCAGATGTTGGATCGGCTGAGTCGAACTCCTTCTGCACTTCGGGTCAGCCGAACATGCTGAGCATGTTCGGCCGACCCGTAGCCACCCGATGTACTGCTAATTTCAGCCGAAATACGGCTGAAATCAGCCGTACTAGCCTGAAGTGAATAGCCGAACAGCGTTCGGCTCACTTCGCTTTAGGTCAGGCATTCACTTGCCTGTCTACGGCAGCTTAGTGAATAGACCCCTAAGTATTCCACTGCTGAATTTTCTTCCGATACTGGCAATCTCTCCCGGGTGCTTAGTGGTTCCTCCTGTGACAGATATGTCTCTCCTGTATCCTGTAATGAGTGAAGGTCAGCAGTAGGAACCAATGACCTTTGGGATGAGATTCAGGAGATTAATACTCGGAGTAGTATTTGTCTTGGAAGCAGTGGATTATTTTTCACCAGAATTGTTTTTAAAGATAATTTGAGTGACAGTGACTTTATAGAATGTATTAATGAATTTACCTGGCATTGTTGTCTAAGAGATCCAGTAATTTCTGGACACAATTTTTTTCTGAAATGTTAACAAAAGTCCTCTAAATATGTTACCAGTAATGAGATGTGAGCTTTGATAAGACAATCGAAAAACATTCCCTGCTCAATGTCTAAAAATCTTACCTGGGCGTATCCATATAGATGTAAAAGCTGAGCCATTTGGAGAGTGGTATCTGATTTGAGGTCTCCGATGAAACCAGCCACTGTACCCCGCACCATGCAGGAATAATTTGGCACTGTCTTGGAATGTCCAGACAAGATCTGCAGAACATCTTTTGTGGCTTTATTCACATTTCCACAAGAATCATACACATGATATCCCAGAGTCACATTGGGCAGAATATCTGGACTGCTGTTTATCTCATCAATAGCAAAGATAAAAGCCAGGAGATGTCTGTATTCTCTGTAGTTAACTCTAAAAAAAATAAAAATGGGTTTTGCAGGATCTAAATTCCAGATCTTATAAAACAATTGATGGCAAGATTCCCCCTATCTGAAATAATATGAATCTAGGTCTGGTTAATCACACCTATAATACAGGATTCACAAAGCATTATCGGTTCCCTAAAGAGAGAGCATAGCAGAAGCTGCCTGTCATTAGGCTCCCTCTGTCTGATTGAAACCCCAGATTAAGCTGTATAGAAGAGAGAGGGCTGAGAAGTGGAAGAGTCACTCTTCTGACTTATTCTCCTGTATTTATAAATTTTAGCCTTTGCTATTAAAAACAACAGGCTTATTTGAAAAGGTCTAAGGAGTACATGGGAGAACATGGGAAAGGAGTCAAGTGATTCAATGAATGTGTAATTTTATAAAAATCCTTGTTAAATCATTAAAGAAGAACTCCGGGGACAATAACACTTGACCCTTGCAGTGGGATTCCCCCGCTCTGCAAGGCTTAATATACACTCACCAAATCCTTGGTTCCACCTGGTTGCTAGACTAGTTCTTACAGCCTCTCTCACTTAACTCCTATGGTGGAATGTCCCTTAACATCCTCAAATGCAGTATGTTGTATTAGATGTCATGACTCTTAGGTCCTTAGACCACAGAGGGGAGGGGGAGAGAGGCTGCAGGTGCACATCTAGTAGCCAGGTTGAATTGAGAATCGGGTGAGAATATCTTTATCATTTTACACCCTAGACCAAAATGAGCACTTAACGCTTGCAATGCAGGGGTAGCCCTACTGACAAGTTGTATTCTGGCTAAAATTCTTCTTTAAGATGTTTTCTTAAGAAACACAACAGAAATAAAGATATTCAATATACTTGCACGAGTTTATTTCATGAGTTCAGTGAAACAGTCGAAAACACTGAACCTGGGAAATGTTATGTGTTTGTCTCCATCAATATATATATTGGGATAAGTGGAACATACTGTATGTGTATATGGATGTGCAGCACAATGTAACAAAACTGCATCACATTAAAGTGTAAGTTCAGCCAATTGAAGGAAATTCTGCAGCAAGGGCAATGACTCGTCTTCTCATACTCTTTTATGTCAGTATTTCTGTTCACTTCCTTTCTGGTGAGACCGCTGTAACCATGATACAAAGTGAGGGGCAAAAATTGTCTGGCCTTACCATGCTGGACTTCACACACAATAAATAATGATTGTTTTTGATTTTCTCTCTTTTGTCAAGAAATCTCAGTCTCCAGATGCTTATAGAGTTAAACATGTTATGGTTTTATGGTGACCCTTCAACATTAAAGTCGTAAGCCTAAAATGTATATTACACCATGTCTCCAAATTCAGTTTTGTTAAGAAAATATTTACCAAAAAAAATAAATTTGTTGCAAACTTTCTTTTCCTGAAAATCCTGCCAGCACTTTCAGTTTAAGGGTGACAACACTAAGCCACTGCCCCACAATTCTCAGAAGATCTGTCAGCCTGCCATATGCATTTTTTCAGTTAGCAATTGGGCTGCTTATCAGGTCTTTCAGATTGGTAGGTAACAGGCTAACTGATAGGAAAACTAAACCCAAGAACAAAAATGTTGCAGTTTACAAGTCATTAGACGGCTCCTTCAGTGGGTAGGCTCCATTAATGACATGTTTTTAGTTAATATAATTTTTAGCAAATACAGAAAATACCTGCCGATGTCACTGGACATGATGAGTCCTTGTCACTCCCTTTGTTCTATACTTTACTATATTTCTTATGTAAACTGTCAATCACCCATTTAGTGAATACAAGCAAAGGTAGACAAGTTTGTAGTCCAGCATAGATGGCAAACATGCCCCCCTCAATAGATAAAATGGGGGAGAGCATATAGCCACTCTGTGACAGGAAGTGTTTTTCACAGGATCACCAGGTAAAAAAATAGAAAAAAGCCTGAATAGAATAATGCAGGCGACATTTAAAGGATACCCCCCCCCCCCATGCTAGTGTAAGGACTTACCTTAAATGTTGCCTCTTGATCCAATCATCTTCTTCTTTCCTGTAGTTTTCAGTATTCCCTCCAGTGGTGGTGCCGGTCTCTGATCCTCTCTCTTCTGGGCACTTCCTGTCCCACGGAGTCTGTGCGGGTGCACGCTGCCTCCATTTACTTACCTTCTGTCTCTCCTCATCTCCCGGCCTTAGATCTAAACTACACATGCGCCGCAACCATGATCCTTTGCGGTTGCCTGAGATTTTTCAGATCTTCGGACAGGAGCGCATGGCAGAGACACAGGTAAGTTTAAAACATTTTCGTAACTTATTTTTATGTTTGTTCATATTTCTACTGTTTGCTAGCAGAAGCTGACAATTATAAGCATCCCTGTCAGCGTTCAATGGTTTGTCTCAAGCCTCTGTCTGCCACTTTTGCTGGACAGATTGGCCTGTTGAAGGAAATTAAAAAATAGCAATAATACTGGCCAGATCACCAGGTGAACATAAAGGGAAAAAAAGCCTAAAAAAACCTAATGCAGCCACCACATCTAAGGACTGGTAAGATAACATAAATAAAAAATTGCTTTTGGGTTTAGATATGAATTAACTCTAGTGTGTGTGCTTATTGAAATCTTGCATGTCAAGGTAAACAGATGGTCTGAGTACTGTAAATCCTCTCTAATGACACAACAAGCCTCATAGATACTCTGTTAAGATCCGTACTTTATAATTGACCTACGCTGAACACATGAAGTCGCAGAATTGGCTTCCAACATAGTGCCACCATGACACTCCGGAATGAACAGCAAATATTCCTCCTATTATGACGTCTCCTTCTTGGGAATATTTGTACTCAAATGTATAATTCTTCATTGTGAGATCACATCGGTGAACAGAGTTCTGAGTGTCACATTCGCAGGGTGTCACACACAAAGCCAACAGAAACAAGTGTTTTGTCAGATTGAAAGTAATGTGCCAATATCTCTGATAGGTTTGAATGAATTCTATCTCTTCTTCCAGACACCTCATACCTGACAGATACAGAGGGTTCTGACTCCGATAAAGGATGTGGCAGAGAATACAAGATGCTCCTATTTATTACTGATAGACTTGATATTAATGTCAGAGAAAGTTACTTTTAGAGAAGAAAAAAGGTAAAATAAAACAAATAGAATCTACTAGGACTTCATCCCAAGATAAACAGCAACTAACTTTATATAATTGCAGCACTAATATTATATGCAGATTCTAAGCTTACAAGTTTTTCTCTATCATTACATTACTAATATTATTGCTGTGCATAGCACCCACATATTCTGCAGCCCTGTAGAAAAGGAGGACATACAGAAGCAAAAACTAGATCATTTTAATGGATAAAAATATATGCTGACCTAGGACATACCATATCAAAGCTGTGTTGAAGGTCAGTTACTTTAATAAAAGGTGTGAGGGAAAAGGAGCATAAGATCTCTGTGAGAAAATTGGGTTAATAAAACAAATAATAATATGAATAATATGAATAGTAATAAATAATGTCTGTGGTATTATTCAATGCCCACTTTTTCCTGTTTGATAGGGGATTGGCAGCTAAGAATAGCACATCACAGACTGGAGGTTTAAACAGAATTTATTATTGGCAGAATTATATATGATCAGCTTGTTTATAGATAAGAACATTTTACACAACATTTGGCGTCAACAGTCCTTGACATCTAACCAAGACAAACACAGCAAATATCAAATAATAAAGCGCCTACACCATGGAGGATATATGTCTAAGAAACTAAAGCCAATGCATTCATCAAATGTAATATAAATCAAAAACTGGATACATAATAATGAGCCAAACAGACATGATATATATTACCAATCCTGGTGCTGTGAAATTGCTGGACTCTCTCTGGTTTCCCCAAGATGGACATCCTACATTTGTCCCTGGCCTAGTGTTCTTTATCCTAATTACTCTCATTCACTTACATGGGAAATCTATGCTTGGTCCAAAGTGCACAATCATAACTTTCTCAAAAAAGTGATTGGATGGTAACTAAAGTATCTCCTTGGTGTCTGGAACTCTCCTGTCTCTGGCAAGTTTAGGTAAGTAAATGTGTTAAATGTTCATGTAGTGTTATCTCAGTCCACACCGCTCTGACCTTCCAAAATGCTACCTGTAATAACATCACATTCTAATCCTTTGTACAGTCAGTTTGCCATTTTAGTTTATCAAAGCATCCTGAGTTTCTGGGAGATAATACTGTGATTATACCAGTAACTTACCATACCATCACACTGCCCGTGGAGACAAAAATAAGATCTTAATTATAGCATACTAACAAAGTCAGCAGAGTAATACTTTGATCATACTGATCGTAAGAAAGATACAGGAGATGGCCCTCAACTTACAATTCAATCCACACCCTGGCTGTTCTGGGTGTCAGAAAGTCCTTCAGGAAGGAAATGGGGCGGGCTCTATCTGACTTGTTGCAGCTTCTAATTCACATTGTGAGAAGCTCAAAGTGTGCAGTGAAATCAGAGCAAGCAATGTCAGTCCAGGAGAGGAGCCGGTAAAACTGTGCAGGCTGAGAGGAAGACTGGAGCTCAGATTATTTTAGTTTATTTTTTTACAGAACTGACTATCTTACAGCTAGTGCAAAATTTATTTTTTAGAGTTTGATTAAGCACACATACATTTTAACCGGAGAGATTTGTATATTTTACACTTCATTTCTTCTTCAGTCTTCTGTATTGCACATTACTTGAAGATAATCTGTTTTTGATATTTATTATCCATAACACAGAATTAACAACCTGAGGAAGTCATCTCAGCTCCTGAGATTTAATATATTGAAACTTAGTAGTCCTTAGATGTGGTGGCTGCATTAGTTTTGTTTTTCAGTCTTATTTCCGGTGATCCGGCCAGTAGCACACTTCCTGTCTTAGGGTGGTAGCACTCACTCTCCCACTGTATCAATGGAGGAACAGTGTAGCTATACTTTGAAAGCAGCATTGTCACCCTGTGGAGCAGGTAGTGCTATATGGACTTTACATAAGTGACTAACAATTAAAGAGGATCTCCAGTTAACGCTTAATAAAATTAATAAAAGCCGACCATTGTAACCCCCCTGTCAGTGATAGTTTCTCACAACCCTAACCCTAATTGACAGTTTTTCTGCACAACTTGGCCTGTTATCGGACGTTGAAAAATAACAGACTTACTGGCCGGATCAGCAGGAAATAAAACTATTGTACATGGAAGACTCAGAAAAATAGTTACTGCTGGTGGTTATTCAGAAAGCTGCCGAAGGCGAAAAATAGTCAAAAATATGTAAAAGAAATTACACAAATAGTGAAATAATAAAAAAATTGTAAAGAAAAGAAAAAAACAATTGGGCGGAGCTAGTGGTAACAACTAGCCCCTCCCAACTGTTTCCTATTGACCAGCATCCCTAGATCATTTGGGGACGTTGATCTGTCATTACAACTGAAGGGGGAGCCAGCTTGGGCAGGCCATTCTCCCCTCTTCGGTGGTCACTTCGGCTCATATGCCTTCGGCTCTGCTGAGCCCCTTGGCCACCTTCGGCTGCTGTATTGGCTATTGTGAATAGCCCGTACAGCAGCCCTTCAGTTCGACTGAATGGAAGGGCTCCGGTGGCCGAAGAGAGCCGAAGGATCAGCCGAACCTACAACTGGTCCTTCACCTCTTTATTGTTTATTTCAATAGTACAATACATAAACATTTTTACATCCATAAATACATAATTAAACCAGCAATACAAAAACAAAGCCAATACATTAAACAAAAAAATAAATACATTTTCTCTCATCATACCATATTATCTAAAAACACATTACCCCACAATATACCAATAGCAGATAAAAGAGACATTATAGACAAACACCATTTCTATATTCAATCCACTTATCCCACATGTTGCTATATTTATCTATGTTACCTCTATGTTTAAACATAATTCCCTCAAATCCAACTACTTTATCTAGTCTAGGGATGCATTACTGAAATCCACCTAAAGGCTATACTATGCCGAGCCACAAAGTATCATAGTATCATAGTATAGTATCATAGTATCCCACCTTCACAGATCCAAAAATACCCAAAATACATATCAATGGATTATTAAATATATGAACTCCAAAGGCTATATTTATTATGTCCACTATTTCCTGCCAATATCGTTTCAACTTCGGGCATCGACACAGCAGATGTATCAATGAACCTGGTTCAAACCCACATTTTGGGCATTTAGTGTCTTCCCTGAGTCCTATCCTATATAGGAATTCAGGGGTCCCATATGTTCTATGTACAATATAGACCTGTGTTAATGTATGTGATGCAGACGGTGAAACTAATTGGATTGAAAGTAACGCCTCCCTCCACAGGGTATCATCCAGTGGGCCCACATCCAGTTCCCAATTCACTTTGCATTTCATGGGAGATTTAATCAGGACTCCTGGCAATAACTTTTAATACATTTGTGAAATTACCCTCTCATCAAAGTTGCATTAAAAAGTTTATCTATATCCATATTTACATTATGGTAAACCTCATGTACGCCTGGATGTACCTTAAGCGCATGCCTCAGTTGTAAATATTTATAAAATTGAACATTGGGTATTAAATAACTTGCTTGTAATTGTTGGAAAGAGCACAAGACGCCTTGATCATATATTTGCGCCAATGTCCGAATCCCCATTTTCTTCCACACTCCAAATCCTTGGAGATTATTTACCTCATATAATACCCCATTATCCCATATTGGAGTATATTTTGTAAACTCAGAGATATCCAATACCCCTTTATTGATTTTCACATTTTACCAATTAGTCTCATAGTAGGTAAAGATGAAAACTCTTTTACATATAAAGTAGTCTAAAGTAGTAAAGGGGCATTAGAGGGTCACTATTCGGAAACAAACATTTAATATCATATGCTCCTATCCTCTGTCCTGGTAAGTTCGAACCCGCCAAGTGTCTTATCTGTGTGGCCAAAAACATTATCCGTGGATTTTGAAGTGCTAACCCCCCAGTTCCTATAGGGTATTGCAAAGTTTCTAGTTTTATCCATGCTTGTTTCTTCTTCCATATTAACTACCGAAATACTGTACAGTATATAGGAGAGCTGAGGCATCCAAATCATTTTAATGAGATTTAATCTACCAACCGGCGAAAGGGGGAGTATACACCATACATTGCATTGCTTCTGAAATTTCTGCAAAATTAATATTAAATTATCTTCCAAATATGCCTCAACATCTACTCTAATCCTAACACCCAAATAAGCCAGTGATTCAACTATTTGTATATGCTGAATTTGCATCGGCAATGGACAAGGAAGAGGATCAATCTGAAGTAACATGGATTTTTCCCAGTTCACACATAGCCATGAGAACCTACCAAATTCCAGAAGTAAAAACATCACTTCTAGTAAAAAATGGTTAGTATCAGCTACAAAGACCAATGCATAATCTGCATACAGTAGTATCTTATCCTCTGCTTTACCCCGCCTAAATCCCAATATCCTATCTGAATTTCTTATTAAGTTAGCTAAAGGTTCTATCGACAATGCGAATAAAAGGGGAGAGAGGGGACACCCCTGTCTAGTTCCCCTCGTCAGTTTAAAGCTGAGGATAGGGCCTTATTTACTTGAATTCTTGCTGAGGGATTGGCGTATAATAATTGAATATATGAAATATATCGGGGACCAAAACCACATGCTCTTAATATTGCCCATAGATAATCCCATTCAACACTATCAAATTCTTTAGCAATGTCCAGGGATAATAAAGCTCTATTTCCCATTGTCTCTGAAGGTACTTGCATATTCACATATGCCCTTCGCACATTGTCTGCCGTTGACT